TAATGGGAAGTGACAATGGCAGGATTAAAATTCAGGCAGTTTGTCTTGATTCTGGCATCTTAACCACTATCCCTGGCTGCTTCTCATAAGTAAGTGCTTGTCGAATATTTGCTATGACCACAATGATCAATAACTATTTGCTAAAATATTTAACAAGTCAATATGTGCTGAGGTACTTATTTATTATTTATAGTATTTCACTAAGTACCAAATCTGACTATAGGCCACAAAAATGGACTCTCTTGCTTTTAAGTTTTTTGAAGCAACTTCTTAAATTCTGCCTACCCAGAGTAATAAGAAAACAAGGTGTATGTTAGGGAAGGCAATTCAAAATAGCTTCCAACATCCTACAATATCTATCATTTGTATGATTAGATTTATAAGAATTTTAATTACAACAACAGTATAAGATTTGCTGCAAATGACTGACTGCATCTAATGTATATATCACCACCTATTTCAAAACTTTTATTTAGAAGGAAAATAAAACTATAGGAAATAATTTGAAGACAGTAAGAATACTCAGAATAATATTTTTAAAAATCATAAATCAAAATGTATAACACCTACCTCCCATAGATTGCGGTTTATGATTATATTGCCTGAAATATACAAAATAAATTTTTTCCTTGGGTAATCTGATCCCTACAATATAAGAGACTTGACCTGTTGCTATTTGGCAGGGGGAGGAGGGATTATTTTATTGTCTTATAACAAAATAACATACTTTGTTTACAAAGCAAGAATTTGTTTTCCACACAGTATTAATAAAAAGGATATAATTGTATTCATTTTTCAAGAGCTTCATTCCTTGCTTTTCTTTTCTTATCCTTGTTTATTTTCTTTCATCTATTTCTAATTTACATTACCTTGCTGTGTTTTATACATCTGTATAAACTGCCATAAGTTCTTACTGGAACAATATGAGGGTAAATGAATGTCCTGTGCGCAAAGTACAATGTGAGGTATATATGGCGTTTTCACTTGAATGGAGTTTGCAAACAGGTAGGATTAATCTGACATGTATTACTTTATGTCATTCATGCATTTCTGAGAATCTTCCTGAGTAGAACATCTGAATATAAAAAAAGTTATTGTAGTAGAGTGATTAAAGTCCCCCAAAGATATGAGGCCCTAATCCTTGGAACCTATAAATTTTACCTTATATGGGAAAAGGGTCTTTGCTGATGTGATTAAGTTAAAGATCTTGGGATGGGGAGAGTTTCCTGGATTATCCAGGTGAGCTCTAAATGAAATCACAATTGTCCTTATAAATTGGAGGCAGAGGGAGGTTTGATACAGACAGAAGAGAAGGCTGTGGGACCACAAAGGCTGAGATGGGAGTGATGTGGCCAAAGAGTGCCAGCTGCCACCAGAAGGTGGGAGAACCAAGGAACGGGTTCATTTTTAGTGCTTCCAGAGGGAGCGAAGCCCTGCTGACTTCTTGATTTTGGTCCAGCAATAGCGATTTTGGACTTCTAGCCTCCAGAACTGTGCGAGAATACATTGCTGTTGTTTTAAGCCACCAAATTTGTAGTAATTTTTTACAGCAATCATAGGAAACTAATACAGTTATTAATCTATATACTCAAGTGTTAAGTGGAAAGAAAATTTTCCTTTAACATTAAAGACATTGGGAAAGACAAAAACAAAGTTATTTCCTGGAATAATGAAATACTGAAAGGTAGTTTAAAAAGGTCAGGAAAGTTCTATTTTAAAGGACTGCCACGTGTTCAGGAAAATGCAACATTCCAACCAAATTCCCTCTCTAATATATCAATTATATTCAAGCAAAATTCTCTAATACCAGGAAAGCCACTGGGAACGTCGGCCTCATTTGGGCCTCATTCCACACCATTCTCCAGCCACCCTATTGAATCGCTCTGCTCATAAACCCACTTCTGCGTTTTCTATTCTACCGACTCCTCAGAATGCCTTCTTGTCTTGCTGGAAGTAATCCATTCTTTCACAAAGTCAAATAACATATTTGCAGAATTTCACTTATGGAAAAGTTTGAGGGCTGCTGCACTTATTGAACCATATGTGCAGAGTGTCCAGGGCACCTGGGTGGCCTCCTGGAGAGTACAAGGGGACATCTCAGCAGCGGCTGCCTGCTTAACCTCACTCATCTGCTGTGTCTAGATCAAAAGGCAGAAAGATAAGCTATCCTCACTCTAGATAATTCTGAAATAAATTGTGCTTATAGTAGAAACTTGCACTTAGGAAACTATAGGACTCTCTCAGAATCTAAGAGCCAATTCATTTAGCCAGAAAAATGTGCCAGATGGAAAGAAGATTTTCTCTTTAATATAAACTATAAACATTTCATAAAAAGTTTTATTCTTTTTTTATTGAGGTAACAGTGGTTTATAACATTATATAAATTTCAGGCGTACATCATTATATTTCGATTTCTGTGTAGAGTACATCATGTTCACCACCCAAAGACTAATTACCACCCGTCACCATACACACGTGCCCTGTCACCCCTTTCACCCTCCTCACTCCCACCTTCCCCTCTGGTAACCACCAATCTAATCTGTGCCTATGTGTTCGTTTGTTGTTGTTTTTATCTTCCTCCGTTGAATGAAATCATACTGTATTTGACTTTCTCCATCTGACTTACTTGGCTTAGCATAGTACCCTTGAGTTTTATTAAAAAGTTTTATTCTTAAAGAATTTAATATGACTGCTGCTTAAACGATAAAAAAAAAAGTCTGAAAAATGAAGAACTTAAAGCACCAAGAAAATGAGGATTTAAGAGGCAAATATCATCCATCTGGCTGTACAAGTATAAAGTTGGGGTCAGCCTTTACACCACTCTCCTTCATAACCAATCCAAGATCTTTGATTTTTCTTCCTAAGTATTTCTCAAGTCTGTTCACTTTTCTCCTCGTGGCTGAACATCACCCTAATCCAAGTCTCTCTAGGGCACTGCATTTGCCTGTTAACTCTTCCTCCCCACCCACTCAGGTTCCACCCAGCCACCAGGGGAAGGGGAAAAGTGGCAGCGGCAGGTAGGTGGGGACTCAAGTTTTCCCTTCCTTCTGAAAGTGACAAGGTGCTCACAGCATCAACTCTGCTATTCGTTACCTACTTGAAATCACGAGGAATTTACATCCTGTGCTGGTTGCCTCTCTGTCGAACGGGAATAAGAACACTACCTACCTTGCAGAACTGTTGGGAAGAAGAAATGAGTCGACACACGTAAAGCACGAAGAACAGACACAGGGACACAGTCAACAATCTTCACTTTGTGGATTATCGCCTACTCGGCCTAAAGTTCTTCAGACTCTCACTGCACTATGTGGCCCTCTTTCATAGCATTAACACGCCTGCAGTTTTACATTTTTTTTAAATCAAATAACTGTCAAATGAATGTCTGTGTCTTCCTCCGCTGTAAATTTCATGAGGCAGAAATCAAGCCTGTGTTTGGTCCTCCAGCACACGCTTGGCAAAGGAGAGCACTGGAATATTTGTTAAGAAAATCTCCCGAGTAAAGCCAACCAAAGACATCAGCGGTTCCAATCCGTAGTTTCAGATGTCTTCAGAATTTGGATGAACATTTCCTCTCTGCTGTCGTTTTTCTCCAACCTCACTGAGTAAGAGAACCACCGGGGAAGCTTTCAAATACACCCATGCCCACACCCCAGAGATTCAAATTTGACTGGTCTGGAATTGGACAGAGCCAGAATCTGAGACTCTCCAAATAATTCTAATCTGCAAGTCAGGTGGGAAAGCGCCAGTGCTTTTCCCACCTGTTTCAGTCCAGGAGGGAAGGCCTCCAAGCCCACCTCTGCTTTTGAATTTGACCAACTACCCCCCACCTTTGCTTGAATTCTCCTTTCCTATTTAGATAATGGGGAAAAAAAAAATAGTGGAGGCGGCAGCTTATGGGCAGGATCTTGGTTGATGGAACGAACGACGGTTCGTGCTGTTCAGACAATTGTAATCCTGGCAGCAAACCCGTTGGGTGGCTCCAGGCCCAGGCATCTGCCCAACGGCTCTCATTCAGGACGCTTCTGCCCCTAGAGGGCGAGCATAGGGTCATGAACCTCTTTTTCCCTTTTTTTTTTTTACTGGGCTTTTATGTGTATTAAAAGCCATCACAGAATTTCCTACAGTGTAGAAGAAAGGTGGTAATTGTTTTAAAAGCTGATAAAGGCTGAACTCCGCAACCCTTCCCTTCTTGGCGTTGCTCCCGAACTAGACTGCAGTCAGGATCCTCCTACCCATCTCGGGCTCCACATCTGCCCACCTTTGCTCCTTTCCACAGGCCGTTTACTCCCATTCTTGACGATCCCTCGGGATTCCCTAACCCTAGTCCGAGTGTGACACCAGATCCGAGGCTGCCCTTCGTGAAGCCGTCGCGGGCTCCTCCAGCGGGCGGCCCGGGAGCGGGGAGCCTGGCGGCCAGACCGCGGCCGGAGGCCCCGCGCGCCCCGGGAGGCAGAGGTCGCTCCCGGCCGCGGGAAACCGGGACACACGCGCCGGTCTGCTGAGATCACCGGGCGGGAACGCTCCCCTCGCCTCGGGAGACGGTCCCCGCGCCGCACGCCCTCGCGTAGCCGGGAGACCCGGGTCTCCGCGGTGCCACCACCTCGGCTCGGCCCTGAACTCGAGAGCTGCAGGACGCGAGCCCCCCGCTCCCCCGAGGGAAAAGGAACCAAACGCGGATTCCCGACGCGGCACAACAGGTCCTTTGGGCACCCGCGAGTTTCGGGAAGCGGGGGCGACAGGCTGGGGAAAGGGATAGAGCACTCCGTGGGCGCATTTCCTGCGCCGGGACCTCTCCACTTAACGTCGCCTTCACTGGTCCCCAGCCCCGCAGCAAATCCTGAGTTTGGGGAGCAGGAATTATCCCCCAGGCGCGGGCGGGAGCAGAGTTGTGGACGCATGGACCGATCTGCTCTGTCCGAGCGCAAAGTTAGGTGATGTAGGCAAAGCGCCTTTATGCGCGCGCCAGGACCTGACCCTCGGGGCGATCGGCGACCACTCACCTTGTGCCTGCGCCTCCATGGTGGCCGACTTCGGGCTGAGCGCGGCGGGGGCGCCCCGGCGCTTCGCAGACACGCAGGCAGCGGTGCCCGAGCTCAGAACGCAGCTGGCGCCGCCGCTCGCGCCCCCTCCTTGCACACGTGTCGCGAGCGCGGCGAGGAGGGGGTGGGGGACCGCGGGGCGGCCACCACTGGCCGCTTCTGGTTACCTCCGCCCCTTCCAGTCCACCTGGCCCAGGCGAAGCTGGGGAGGAGCCCACCGCTGGGCGCCACCTGCCGGCCGCGCTGCGCAGCTGGCGGAGGGCGCCCACTGCTGGCTCAGGGCGGGTGCTCGGGCCCAATAGATGCCTGACCTACCTAAGTAGGCCCTGAGGTCGGTTGTACCCGGGCAAATGCCCTGAAAGAGAGGAAGACAGGTGGATTTACAATATTGAACCATCGCTCCCGGTGGAAAACCAGAGTTAGGTTCCAGTGACCCTCTGGTCCCAACGTTTTTGTCAACTGATCAATAAATAACCTGGTGTTATGTGTGTTTCTGTTAAAAGATACCTTAATATATAGTTGACATTAACACTGAGCTCATGGCCAACAGCGCTATAACTCATACCCGAATGAAACTTAGTAAGCTTGTTTAACGTGTGCATTTTCTCCTTAAGGCACATACAGCCTTCCTGCTGGTCGGACACTAGATAGCACTTCAGCACTATGCTTGGAGTCCATTTTAATAGCAAAATCACCCGAAAAAGCACAAAAATGGTCTATTTGTAGTCTGTGAACAGGGCGCTTGTTTGTAGTCTGAGAGCTGAAACAAGAAGGTGGGGCTTAGCCGTGGTTGACCTCAGCTGGAAAGGTTTGCGCCTGTCTGCCCACATTTCTCCCACATTTCTCCAGCTCTGCCCTTGTCTGGGAATGACCATGAAAACACAGTACTGATTTTGGTGTCCCAAACAAATTTGAGTGAGGAGGCAAATTCACAAATATGGAATCTGCAAATAATAAGCATCAACCGTGTATATATTTTCTAATCCCAAACTTGTAGGCTCTACCTGTCAGTTGATGAAGCAGTCATGTTTTCAGAGAACAGACTAGAAACGTACAGTTCTGTTCCAAGCCTGGCCTGGCAATGTGGCTAGAAAGGATGGCAAGGAGGAAGAAATATCAACTCACGTCCCACCTCCTCAGGTCTTCAGCTGTTACAGATCTCCCCTTTTTCTTCACTTCCACACAATCTTCATCTGTAAAAGCATACAATGTATTTATTTACATTTGGTCTTGAAGGGTTTGCCATGATTTTCAGGATTTTTTTTTTTCTTTCTTAAATAGGTGGTAAAGTCTGTCAGGGTCCAGTGTGGGTATTACACTGAGCCTTCCGTATATCCTGCCAAAGAGTCTTCTGCAAATTCATAGCTCAAAAATGATTTATTGAATAAACAATTAACTAACCAGTAAGTTCTATTTTATCTGTGCCCAAGTTACTCTCAAAGTATTGACAAATAAACATTAATGGAGTCTTACATTTTTGTTTGAAAGAAGGAACAGTCATGATTTCCCGGCATATGTATAAACAAGTCAGTATTTTTTGTTTTGTTAAAGATGTCCCTAATTTGTAATCATTGCCATTAAAATTGCTCTATAGAGAGCCTAGCCCAGTGGTGTAATGGTTAAGTTCACGAGCTCTGCTTCGGCAGCCCAGGGTTCGAAGGTTCGGATCCCAGGTGTGGACCTACGCACCACTTATCAAGCCATGCTGTGTGGCAGGCGTCCCACATATAAAGTAGAGAAAGATGGGCACAGATGTTAGCTCAAGGCCAATCTTCCTCGGGGAAAAAGAGGAGGATTGGCAACGGATGTTAGCTCAGGACTAATCTTCCTCACCAAAAAAAATATATATATATATCGCTCTATAGAACACCAAGCATAGGGCTTTTAAATGGCTTTTGGTGATAGTGACCACGGAAGTGCCAAGTGACAAATCAGAATCAGTGATTAAATCACTTTTAGAGTCTGTTCAATTGTTCTGGTCCTTTCTGCCCTGGAAATTAAACACCAGGTTAGGGTTGACTCCCAGCTGTAGAAAGGAGCTAAAAATAGTTAATGACTTTCTAACTTGAGTCATCTAACCTTCATCTAAACTCTGACTCATTTTTCTGATTTATGAAATTTTAAGGTACTACCCCCTTAATGTCTTTCATCATTTATAAAAATAAAATATTGAAATTCATTCAGAAATAGTTACTGAATGTCTTCTCTGTGCCAGGGACTAGGCCAGATGCTAAGGAGACAAACAAAGGGCAGGATCCTTTTGACGGAGGGAGTTTATGGTCTGGTGAGAAGGAGGGAGAAGCAGATACTTTCTAAAGCAGGGCACTAGGATAGGTGCATGAGAACAATGAGGGGGGTCTCTTCTCTCAGCCTGGGGAGGAGATAAAAGAAGGTTTCTTTGAGGATGTCACCTCAGCTGAGTCTTGAAGGATGAAGGAATTAGCTCCATAAGTTGTGTTAGCTTCCAAATAATGGCTTCGCCAAGGAGACTAGTGTTGAAGCTAACATATCACAAGAAGGAAGATTTTACATTTTATATCTTTCCTTTTCTTTCGCTTATGATGGTGAATTTCCTTCACTTCTTTAAGGCTTAGTAAATCAGCCACCTTCGCCCTCTTGTTCTTCACCTCTGCAGCGATTCCGCTGAGGATGCTCTGGGGAGGTGGGCAGGCCCAGAAATGAGAAGAAGGAGCAGGAAAGGACACATAAAATATGCTCTTCTGGCTCATGAACCGTACAAATACGCTGAAGGAGAACATGGGCTTTGGGGCTCCATTAGCTTCTCCCTCTGAAAATTACTAGCTGTGTAACCTAAAGCAAGTTTCTTAGCCTCTCTGTGCCTGGGTCTCTTCATTTTGTGGCAGCACGCTGTATGAGGCATTCACTGATACGTTCTTTCCCTCCTAGCCCACGGGGTGCCCGTGTTTCTAGAGCAGTGCTTCCCAGCCCTCTTGTGCCTCAGTACCATGTGAGGGGCTTTTACACATTTTGGATACCTGAGCCCCACTCCCCAGATATTCTGATTTGATTTTTTGAAAGCTCTCTGGATTGCATCCATGTGCTTCCAAGATTGAGAATGACTGTTTTAGAAACTGTCCACAGCAAAGATGAAAGGTACTACAAAGCTGTTAAATTAAAAAGTTGCCAGTCAGATAAACAGAAAATAATGAAAAAGGAAGGTGAGCAGGCAGAGCAAGAATTTCTTGGCCCTCCTTCCAGGGGAGTTGGGGAGGGAAGAGAAGTTTGAAGGAGAGCTTAGACATGTGGCTGTCGCTGTGTCTTGCCCCTTCCTTCCCTACCCTCCTCAGAGCAAAGAGGACCTGGCCTTAACACTGCCATTGGGAACTCTGATGGCCAGATCATTTTGAGAAATGTTACGATCAGAGTGAGTGTCACCTTGAATCCCCCCGGCCCGCCCCACCGCGGCCCCTTTCAAGCGGCGTGGGAAGACATCTAGGAGTTCCCTTGAGCCCCATGTCCAATGTGGAAGTTAGGGGAGAGAGAACCAGCCAGCGAGCGAACATTCACAGGAGGCTGGAGAAAGAAAGGCTCCATAAGGGAAGGAAGACGGGAGGGTGGGAGGGGCTGCACAAAGGGAGAGGCGGTCAGTGTCCTGTGTGGGACCGCTGCCCGGCCAGAGGACTTGCTGGCGTCACCCACATCGTGCCACTGAGCAGGGCAAAAGGAAACGGGGAGACAGAGTTTGGTGAGGTATTTCTCAGAATGGGACTGCCTCTCCCCATCTCCACAAACTCCCCAGTCCTCAGAAGGCCTGGAACGTGACTCCCATTCAAGTCCACAAGCCAGAGAGCTGGCCGTCGAGGCCAGGGGAGTTAGTGGGCTGCAGTCTTGCTAGGACCACTGAAGTAGAAAGCCAGGAGGTGAACATTAAAGGGGTGGAGCATGAGGCCATCAGCTAGGGTCCACTCAGGCCTAGGGGGACCTGAATGATGTCAACCTCATCCAGTTAAATATGGAGTCATTTGGTTCATCCCTTCCTCTCAGTCCCACCCCACATTCCACCAAGAGGAGCTGGTACCTGGAAGAGAGAGGGGCAAAAAAATCAGACTGGCTTTTTCTCTGTAACTCTCCAACACACATGCACGCACACGCACACGCATGCACACAGAGACAGAGACAGAGAGACAGAGAGACAGAGATTTTTCAAGCAGTGCTGAGAGAATGAAAAAAGTTTACTCTGAAACTGAGAAGACTAGATCACATGCCAACATAGGACCATTCTACTAACCAAAAATTAACTAAAATGAATGAATCTGGACCAGCTGCCTGTAAGAGAGACATTTTGAAGCCAAATGAGAGAACAGTGATTGGAAAATTACAAATATTTCTTGTTTATCCATCAAAAACCTGTAACTCTTCAATAAATTGTTCACATTATGTAAAATCCTTTACAAAAAACCTAGTTTACGCGTCTTGTTTTTTCTAAGTTCCTCCAGAATTTCTAGACATATTCCCTGGATCATAAATTATGCAGAGATGTTCAGAGAATTTAGAGGATAAAGGTGCTTTCTTTTTCATTATAAAGAGACATTATTTCATTGTAACCTGAGTTTCTAGTATATACAAATATGAAAGCTTACTTCTTTAGACTTTAAAACTTTAAAATACATAATGATTTTTAAATAGCAAACTCTAAAATACGTTTTAAAAGTATTAGTTTTCTGGGGCCGGCCCGGTGACATAGGGATTAAGTTTGTGTGCTCCGCTTTGGTGGCCCGGGGTTCTTAGGTTTGGATCCCGGGCGTGGACCTACAAGCTGCTTATCGAGCCATGCTGTGGCAGCATCCCACATATAAAGCAGAGGAAGATGGGCACGGATGTTAGCCCAGGGCCAATCTTCCTCAGCAAAAAGAAGAAGATTTGACAATGGATGTTGGCTCGGGGCTGATCTTCCTCACCAAAAAAAAAAAAGAAAAAGTATTAGTTTGCTAAGGTCTTAATGCAGGGCTTCTCAACCTCAGCACTGTTGATGGTTTTTACTGACCAATGCTTTGTTGTGTTGTAGGATGTGTGGGAACATCCCTGGCCTCTGCCCACCAGATGCCAGTAGCAACTCTTCAGTTGTGACAATCAAAAATGTCTCCAGACATTGCCAACCGTCTCCTGCAGGGCAAAGTTGCCCCCAAGTGAAAACCACGACTTTACCTCTTTCTTGAAGATCATTA